GATCAGATGGTCAAAATGCTTGCAAGTATTTATGAACAGGTTCCAGCTACTCTTCCCCACACCCCTTGTATCCCTAATTATGTAAAAACGGAACAAATACAATAGGGTTTCCTGTTTTTCTGGGAGCAGGCAAATGGCCATCCCTTTTAAATGACCCTCGTCTGCATCCACAGGCCGGATATTTTTTTTAAGGAGGGGTAGAAATCTTAAAAGTGTTTTGAAATGTAATTATTTGGAATTCTAAAAATTTCACAACTGTCTAAAGTAAAGAAATTGATTACCAAAAAGAAAAACAAAATGGCAAAGGTTTTGGTATAAGGACACCAAATGGCAATAGGAAGCTAGAAAACATCAGTAAATATGGGCATGAATTAAAAAAATTTGTACTTGTAGGGTTAATGCTCTTATACTTTACCTATTTAAATGAAAACATGTGGGAAATTGTGTTTGCAGCAAGCTTGGCTGCAAACACAATTGCAGCCAAAAGGGCAGCCTTCCAGATACTCTCAGGGCGCCTGCAATTAATGATGACAATTTAAATTTTGATGTGCTGGGCTTTGCCCGAGCAGTCAGGGGTAGACAAGTTGGGGAAGTCACCTATCTAATAGATGCCGCATGATATTAATGTAAAAAGGAACGCTGCCTCTAACCTGAAAGCCACAGGAAATCAATCACCTCCCCGGCATTGCTTTCTTCTGACAAATATACTCTCTGAGGCCAGGTAGCACAGCTAATGGCCTCCAAAGTATTTCTGTCAGAGACACAGCTCCTATTAATTATTTAGTCACCTGTGCTGCGGTGCAACTTACAATATTTACAACGCTTTGAAAGGCCACTATCCTACCAGCTTGGTGTCCCCGATGTGCTGAGCTGCTTTTGCATTAGCCATAACTCCATCTGCTCCCATTTTACTAAGACAGGGAAAGAGACAAGCTCCTTTCATCCCTGATCGGGAAACATGCCCGTCTCCCGAGGTGCATAAACATAAACATGACTGACGGCTGATGAAGGGGCTGCATTGTTTTTTTAGACCAAAGAGCCCGGTAGTGTTTCATCATCATGCTGAAGTGGAGGCAGAGAGTCTGTGGTTTCACCTCATGAAGCTCTTCTCTCTTTTATTCTAAATATGAAAACATACTAAATATAGCTGACATTTATGTGTACACAATGATGCATCACTAATGTGGCAAACAAACCACAATATTACAACTTTTGTTTTTATTTAGAACTGTTGGGAGGATGTCCTGGGAAAATTAATGCATTTAAAATAGAAACAATAGTAGAGAATCCAGCTGTTGCCTGAGGACTGCTGGCCACCATGCTGTCACTAAGTTAAATCCCCATTTTTCTGCCTACACTGGGGATAAGGGGGTTGGCTCTAAAAGAGGAGGATTGGAGAGAGGGAGGGAGAGACTGAAGATGCATTCAGGTGAAAGCTGGGGAAAAAAGAAAATTCTACTATACGGACCAAACAAATGTTTTTTTGTTTTTTTCTGTGTTTTCATGACTAAATACAATAAATGGTCAAAAATACAATAAATGGTCAACAATTTGATTTACAGCGTGCAATCAGCCTAAAAAAAACAGCCGGTTGAAGCCTGACTTGTCCAAATATTTCAGTTTACATGCATGTTTAGTTTTAATTGGATCCTAATTTCATGACACATTGCAGAGCTTTCACACTGAGTTTAAGCAGAATAATAAAAAAAAAGCCTTTAAATATCTGGTATTTTCCTTTCTTTACAACACAGGTGTCAAACTGGTTCCAGAAAGGGCCGTGTGGCTGCAGGTTTTCTTTCCAACCAAGCAATAGCACACCAGACTCCATTCATATCATCAAGTCATCATGTTCAGATTGGACTCCCTTGATGAAATGACTGGAGTCTGGTGTGCTATTGCTTGGAAAGAAAACCTGCAGCCAAACGGCCCTTTCTGGAACCAGTTTGACACCCCTGCTTTACAATATCAAATGTTATTCATCCAGTTCAGATTTAGCTGGTCTATTGTCCATTTTAGGCTAGCTATTTAAGCGAACTATTAACAAAAGATAATAAGCTGCCCTGTATTATAACATATATATATATATATATATATATATATATATATACATATATATATATATATATATATATATAAATGAGGACCAAACGCCAACTCCAACAACCGCACTGCCCCACCTGAAGCCATGGTTCAATAATCAGCTGGACTCTCATCTATAGTCCCTCTTACATAGGCCTTTCTCATTTACAGAGGAGACTGAGAAGTGTGATCTTCCTTGGAACAACCTTCTTATGAAGGGGAACCACCTCCCAAGTCTACCAGTCCATGGAGGCAGTTCCTGACCACCTAAAGCCTCGTCACCATGGAGATTTTTCAACACTTTAATGACTTCAGCCTGGGTGATGATCAGGTTCGACCGCAAGCATGGGGTGCTCTGGGCCAGACTTGTCTATCAAGTAGCAGAAACATGCAGTAAGAAAGCTAAATGGGAGGGGATGAGGGCCAGAGATCTGTTTGAAAAAAATATATAGATCATAAATGAAAGATTAGAAGATCAATGCATTACTAATTTTACTTCTGTTTCCAAACTGCGCCATAGTCGGTGCCCCAGCCATCTATCTGCCCCTAAATTTCTGTGTGGGCAAGACCAATTACAGTTGGGATCATGTCGCTTTGCTGCACCTAAGCTATTTGACCAAAAGTCCTGATAAATATCAACATTACATTCATCTTATTAATATTACATCATTTATTACATGTCCATATACAATTTGATTATTCTTGTTTTTTAAATCCACATACAGTTCAATCCTATGGTGAAATTTTGTGCATTAAAATAGTGCTAGTGTTTTGAGAATTTCAGGTTACTGACAACCTGAACTTTTCAGGTTATATCAGTATGCATATGGGCTTTTATAAAAAAATATTGTGTTAACCTATATAGAAAATTACATGAAATAGCTGTCTGTATGTTTTGCAGTATGTTGCTGTAATTCCTAGTGTAAAACATGCATTTGTCTAGCTGTCAGTATTATATTTCTTCCAGCTCATAAGTGGTGAGGACTTAAACCTCTACCAAAGCCATCCCTAAAGTATATTCAGAAAATACTGAATTCCTTATTGTTTATTTTTGGATAAATATCTAGATAAAAATGCATGTGGATCCTCTCTTAATATTTCTTTGCCATATTTCCTGTTTCTAGCCATTTGAATTATATAGGTTGTCAGAATAACGCTTTCCCTGTTTCCTTTTATTTTTTTTCAACATTTTAGTTTACTGATTTTCTATC